GGCTGCTATGGCAAAAACAACAAGACACAAAAAAGTTTGTCATCAACATCCCACACTCAGAAATAACCCAAACACAACACGTGTGGGTGAGGCCGGTTCTCAGGGACGACGAGGAAAACAATTAAAAACAAAAACAAAAACAGAAACACCTGACTCCAGACTGGAGCTGGTCCACAGCGGCACAGCCAACAGTCTCCCTGTTGTTGTTGTTGTTGTTGTCGACACACGTGTTTGTGTAGAGAGACTAAATCAAAGAAGGCATCGATCTGCCGGGAGCCGAGCTCTCACAGGAGCGTGACGCTGCGTCTGCTCCGACATCGAGGAGACGACGACAGATTCACGCCAGACCAGACAGCGGTGATATTTATACACACACAGGAAGTGATGTCACCGAGAGTCTGAACAAAATTCAAATCCTCTCCGATCCAGACTGAGACGAAGACTCGAGACTCTGAAGACAAAAGTGGTTTTCACTCGAGACTCTGAAGACAAAAGTGGTTAAGACCAAACGTTGTTCTACAGCGCCCCCTTTTTATAAACATAGTATTTTTTATTTATTTAAAATTCCTACTAAACTTTTAAGGCCCTTCTTCAACAACTGAGTGGTTCCCAAAGTGGGGGGCGGCCCCCGTTGAGGGGTCTCCTTAACTGTATTGACTTCACTGTAGCAGATTTGAAAGCAGCGACGGACGGAGACAACGTGTTCTCCCGTCGGTCCTCCCGTCAGAACACCCCGCTGCTAGCAGACACACAGATGTGAGAACATGAGCGCATTTACCAGAAGTCATTGTTGAAGCTGAAATAATAAACAGTCGGCGCTCGTCTCCACCCTCCCACAGCGAGATGTTCCGGCCTCGTGCTCTCAGCCTCTGACCGGTCCAGACTGAACCGACTGCCCTGTGTTTGCTCTGGCTTTGACCTTCATCTACCTCCACATCTGGAGGGAGAAGGACCTATTGTCAGTCGAGGAGGGCTGAATCCTCCAGGGGGCGTCGTCACAAAGAGGCCCTTCGACGCCATCAGACCCAGCGGTCCAATCACAGACAAACTGCAGAGAAGCCCTGATTTTTTTTTATTCGGGCCGTTTTTTTTTTTTTTTCTGTAACATCTTTCACAGAAAAATAAAATGTCAGCTACTCTCGTAAAAACCAAAGAAGAAGAAGAAGAAGAGGACAGAGACACTTCCTGTCTGTGAAACCACAACAGCGTCTGTTGACGTGTCCGTTGCCACGACCCACTTTTCACCCTGCCGTCACATTCGACGCCCAGGATCTAATTGAAAGAAAAAGCCACTCTATTGATCTATCGATCTGTGAGCGTGAGTCCCGAGAATAGACTCCAGCACCGGGGTGACATCTGTGTCACCAGAGGCATCGATCCAGACCCATGGTCTCCATCGACCAATCACCTCACGGCAAACTTTATTATTTTATTTGAATTTTTTCAAAACTTGAGTCTTTGGTCATCAGGGCAGTGGTTCCCATAGAGGGGACACAGAGAGAAATTGACCATCACAGTGTATGTAAAGAGCGCCCCCTATTGGCGGTTCTATTAAAGAAGCTGGATGACCATAAAACAAACTGTTTTAGTACCAAACAACCACCGAAGATGAAAAAAAGTAAAGACTTTTTTTTTTTTCTTTTTAGAACAGGTTTCTATCGATCTCAGTTTATCTACAGACCATAATCATCTTCAGTGTCTGACTCAGACTGGGCATCTGCTCCAGGGTCACGCTGACTGAAACCTTAACCTCAGCCTCCTGGTCAGGGCATTTTCTACCATCACACACTCAAATAAAAACAATAAAAAACAAAAAAAATCATCTCACAAAAAACAAATACAGTCAAAAATAATCCTTTAAATTTCCCCTTAAAATGTCAATAAAACTGAAACAGAACCGATTCATTCCAAGTGAATCTGTTCTATTCTCTTTGTTCCTTCACTTCTGCTCACGGAGCAGGAAAGTGGCGTTGGATATGAAATAATCCAGGAACCGGTTTCCTGTTGCGCGGCGGTCCAGAGCAGCTGGAGCCGACTGATACAGGCCAGCGCTCCAACCAGGAAACCCCTGACAAACCAGGAACTCCCGAACAATTAGCAGGACACCACTGTTTGTCTCATTAAGAGCCCGGAGCGCGTCAACGCCAGGCGGGCTGTAACTACAGACGCGGGCCGCGAGACACTGAGCAGCCGCCGCCGTGAATAAATCAAGTGAAAAAGAGCTGAAATGAGACAATGACAGAAAAAGAAAAATATGGGACGGTGAGGGCCACAAATCCCCCTCCGTTTACTGCCACGTCAGGTCCAGGCCACAAGCCACGAGATGTTCTTGGCCCACGCTGCAAGAATCCTACTGCGTTAGAGCGGGTCGAGTCGCTCCCTCCGAGCATTCCCGGAGTTCAACTCAGCCTCGGCTCGTTGTTTTTTTTACTGCTCGACTCTATTGTACGTCTTCTATTTTTGAAAAGGTATAAAAATGAGTAAGAGGAGCGGCAACATCTGAGGTACCGTTTTATCACTGCACCTCAAACCACTGTTCACAGCTGCAGAGTTTCCTTCACACACGTACACGCCGTAAAGCAGCGGCCGCCGCAACGACAACAAGGAATTATTTTCTTATTTTCTGCTGAAGTTGGTTTGGTGTTGGTAATGTTGAAGCATTTTCCTCGTCAGTGTCGAATGTCAAACAGAATGAATGAACTGACACAGGATCAGTATTTTTGGACAGTTATGACATCATGACATGTCATACAGTATGACAACGTTCCCAAAACAAAACCAACTTCAACAGAGGCGTAATCTCATACAGGCCGACGGAGTTCAGCTAAAATATAAAATATCCTGTACCTGTAATGGGATTATTGGACTATTTAACAACCGAGGAACTGCAGTACCAACAGTGGTACACATACCATAGTTTGAGAACCAAAGTATACACCCAAACCGCCATCACCTTCACCTCCTTAACACCAACACTGTTTCATTTTCACCAACCACCAGGTGTAAAGTGGCGTGAAGATAAAAACCTCGCTCTTCTATTGGTCCTGACAAAATAAACAACGAGCTGGAGCTCGTTAATCTGGGTGGATATCTGTTGGAAAACAAACTTTACTGCCCTCTAGAGGGCTGTCCTATGCAGCAGCAGTCAGTGTATGTCGTGGATGTTTGTTGTTATAAAGTTGAAATATTCTCCAGCAGAGCAGTGGAGCGGACCTAAACCAATCAACACGTGTTCCAGTCCAGGCCTCCGCCCCTCAGGTTTGAAACTCAGTAGATCATAGTGACGTTTTCACCAAATGATCCTGGGATTAAAGTCCAGCCCCGCTCTGGGTCTGCTGTGATCGGGTCACGGTGGTTCTGCTCCAAAAATCCCTGGTTTGAGAACAAATACTTGCAGTACTAATAACGTCCACAGCCGACGTCTGTCAGCGCCGCTAATAAGAGGCTGAAATATTCCACTGCATCTCTTCAACAGCTGCTGGTGTCGGAGCAGAAAACCAGCTGCGGGTCACGACTTCAGAACCGCCAGAAAGTGTCAGTTTGAAAAGGCTGAGCTGGAGGTGGACGAGTGGAAGAGACACGAGGAGAAATTAAAAAAAAAAAACCAGGAGATCAGACGGAGTTAGAGGAACAGGAGATAAATGTTGAGACCAGGAGATCAGACGGCGTTAGAGGAAGAGGAGACAAACGTCAGGGAGATGGTTGAGATGTTGGAGCAGGCAGGAGGGAGGGGGAGGTGAGGAGATGGTCGGAGATGGTCTTCTGTGGAGAACCACTGCGTCTCCTGTTATTTTTAATCTTCCTGGCAAAGAACATGTCCCTGTTCTTTTCTTAGGACTTCTGGCGTCGGCCCGTCATCCCTTCGTGAACTGACCTCCTCTGACGGTCATGTTTTTGTGACACGCAGCTGCGTTCTGCTCCCAGTTTTACTAGTCACCTGTTTTGCTCCTGGTTTTGTCATCACTTGGAGTTCACTCTGCATTTTTGAAATTCACTTTATCGTCCGTCTGTGCTGGTGATTTGTGTTTGCTGTTGTACAAATGAGACCCGTCTTTGACAAACACGTGTACCGTGCTTGGCCGGCTTCGAATCCCTCCTGGTGGGACGATAAATCCCGGTGATGAAATTGATTAACAGACGAGTCCAACCGACGCTTCCTCACAGAGTTACTTAAACCCGCCGCCGACCGAACCTCGGCTCTTCGACACATGTCAGTGATTTGAAGCCGTGGCCCCAGAACAGCTCTGAGGAAGCGGCGAGTCTGGCACGGCTCACACTTTACTCTTAAATACCTCGCCTCTGATTGTCCCAAGTCTCAGGTCATCAATTTCCTCGCTCTGACATCTAACAAGGCCGCAGCACGCCATAAAAAGCCTCTCTGGCTCCGCTCTCGCTGCTCCGTGCACATGTTCTGCTGGTGTTACCTCATCTCTGACAAACGTCCTCGCCTCACTACTGTGCAGTTTAACGCATCGCTTTGGCCGACGCGCCGCAAGTCGGCGCAAGCCAGGGGGGAAGCAAACAAACCTCAGCAGTCAGTCACTCAGGTTTACGGCGGTCAGGCCGACCGCCATCTTTCTTTCTTGCTCCGACAACACAGCAGCCTATAGCTGTGGCTCCAGGCCAGAGAATATGATTCACACTTTCCATGAGCCGACACGACCGTGACCTCGTAACCTCCCGGGAGAAGGTGTGAAAAATGTTGGACTTCAGGGTGAGCGTGAGACGGACGAGCAGACAGAGATCCGTCCAGGCAGAGGGACGACAAAGGAGAAACTCGACTCTCTTTTAAGGTGTTTTTTTTTTTCGTTAATGTTAAAATAGTTTGGAGGAAGCTGTGGCCAAGTGTTCCCCTCGACAGGAAACTGAGGCGTTTGATTCAGTCGGACTTGTTTTATGGATGGACCAACACTGGTTGCAGTATCAGTATCCGACCTCAAACTTTACAAATACTCGGAAACAATTCAACACAAAAACTGGGTTATCCGTGGGTCAGGAGTAAGACAGTGAAGACTAAACAATTCAACACAAAAACTGGGTTATTGCTGGGTCAGGAGTAAGACAGGTGAAGACAGGTGGCGCTGCAGCTTCACCTGACATCAGACCCAAGTTCTTTAGTTTTTTAACCGTCTACTCTGAGAAGAAACACCAAAATTAAAATAAACCTGTGGAAATCTGAAACTATAAGTTCGATCTCAACAATGAACTTCATTTTCTAGTAATTCCGACCACAGCCTGTCGTGACACATGGTGTCTCAGCAGCTGAGAATTCTCCCCGTACAGTTTTCTGTGGTTTAACACTAACACTCGACTATGAATTTAAAAACAACTCAGCCCAGCACCTGAGCGAAGCCCTGACGTCCTACAAAACTCCGCCAAAGGTTTTATGGACGTGAGAAGCCGCAGTAGGTTTGGAACGCTGGCGTGAGTGAAATTTCCTGCAATATTACAGTGAAAACAGCAGTAATTACAGTTTGGTTCCTCAGAAATATCCATTAGGGCTAAAAAAAAGAAAAAAAAAAAAGGCAAGCACGTCTCAATCGAAGCTAGAAAACTCCCCCGGGACTGGAGCCGCGGTGGCACGGTGTCAAATGAAGTCTCCCCGGCGCTGACCAGCCGACGACCCAGCAGACGGCGCTAACAAGTGTTAATGTATTTACACAGACTGTTCAGAGGAAGTGGCATGGGAACCGTCCGAGTCTGGCAGTCTGCGGCGGCCCGACTACTGAGACGGGGTCGGCCATCGTCAGGAAGCCGGGCCAGACGGTTCAGCGGGGGCTCTGGTGGTGGATCAAAGCCCCGCTGATAGCTGCTGCTGCTGCTGCTGCTGCTGCTGCTGTTTCTTCATCCACCGCTGGGACTTAACCCACAGCCGTGTTTTTTTTCTGACCCAGAAGAAGATCATTTATCCGGTTTTATTTCAGATCACCGCAGCGCGGCGAGAGTCTGAGCGCTGAGATCATTAAAACATTTGCGCTGCTCTCTCTCTCTCTCTCTCTCTCAGATAAATATCAGGCATCACCAAAAAAAAGTATTTATTTTATCAGCAAGCTTTGTTCAGCCTGGTCTCATTTGGAGTTTTCGGCCAATCAAATCAAAGGTGGGAGCAGCAGGCGGCTTTGATGAAGCTGCCTCTGAAGTGGAATGACAAAAGACCTGCTGTGAGGTTTGGAAACGCAGGACTCTCTCAGTCCTGGGGTCTGGGACGTCCAAATGTCGTTTTCATAGAGGCCAGATTTTAATATGTCAAAATACTTAAAGCCCTACGGCTACTGCAGTAACGCTCAGAATAACAGAATGGAAATATCTGAATCCCTCAGTTCACTAAACACTTTTAAAAAATAAAGTGTGCGCTACTGTAGATCTTTGGAAGCAACGCTGGTAGAAACAAAGGCAGAAACAAAAACTTAATAATGAATATTAAATTATATGAATAAAAATTAGCCCCAAAGTAGCTAACATTAGCAGAAAAAAAAATCAATAAATTCATGGTTATAGCTAAGCTAATAAATAAACATAAAATAGTCTAAAAGTAGCTTTAAAAAAGTGAAATAAGTAAAGAAAAGGTTTTAAAAAATGTATCCAAGTTAGTGTTTGGTTAGAACTTGGTCTTCAGATTATTTTCTGTGTCAGTTTTGGCGTCTTTGCTGGAACAAGAGGACTTCAAAGAATAACGTATCGTATCGTATCATATCTTATCTTATCGTGTATTGAATTGTACTGTATTGTTTTTCCTCTAAAGCTAAAAGTGTTGCACTAAATACATGGGTTGTTAAGTTTCCCCTTTTAATAATCCCAGAGTCAACTGTAAAAAAAAAAAAAAAAAGATTCTGAGGCCAGAAGTTGTAACTCTTGGCTCTGGGATCAGTGACTCAGTGGTCGTTGATTGGAATTTTATCAGCACCTGCAGAACCATAATGGTCCTTTAATGTAGCAGGGTCATAAAAGGACTCTTTGTCAAGTTCATTAGGAGTCTGGATGAGAACTCTGTGTCATAATGTTTTCCAGGCACTGGAATAAAAAAGAAAAAAAAAAACAGGAGTCTCTCACTCACCATCGTCGAGGTACATCTGGTCCAGCTCCTGCGGTTCCTGCTTGATGCTGATGGCCAGCGTCAGGGAGCCGTCGTCCTCCTGCAGGGAGCTCCGCCCCCTTTCCGGAACCTTTGCCTGCTGCTGTTGGGCATCGGGGCTGGTGCTGCCGCTGACCGGCTGGACTGGCGTCACGCAGTGGGTCGGAGAGAAGGGCGCGTCGGTGGGGGTGGAGGGCTGCGAGGTGGGGGAGGAGGAGGAGCTGCTGGGTGGGTAGAGGCTGGGCAGCGCGTAGCGACCCGGCGTCTCCTGAATGATGGAGATGTGAGGCAGCGGGGAGTGGGGGACGGCGGGGAGGCACTTGGCGAAGTGTGGCGGCGAAAGGTCGTGGAGTTTGGGGCTGGTGCTGGGAGACGAGGAGGTGGGCAGACTGGACGGCTTGGGCGTCAGTCTGTCCTGAGTGACAGGGTAGGCTCCGCCCACCACGCACTGCCTCAGGTCGGCGCTCATCATGGGGGTCATGACTTGCGGAGGAAAGTACGGCTTCGGGTGCAGGGCGACGCCGGAGCCGTGCTGAGTGCACATGAGCGGGGCGTCGAAGTCGTCGTGAGGCTCCGTCTTTATGGTCGGAACTGGAGGGAAGAGAAGCAGGGAAACCGTGAGGCCACGTCCCATTTCTCTGTCTCAGTCAGACCCTGTCCACTGCACCACTGCACCACAGGCTGCCAGTCTGCTTGTATTTAATGATATTTTATCTGACCAGTCGACAACAGCTAACCTACTCCTCACCGACCAATCGACAGACCTCGTCAACTTTTTTTTTTCTTCCTACCAACAATCCAGCAAATCAGCAAATGTACAAACCTACAACTGAACCTACATACGTTCCTACCCACCGACACTGATATGAACAGACCACCCATAGGAATAGACTATAAACCGACGTCCTTAGCCGTCCTACCCACGTCTCCTATATCCTACCCGTGAAGCTAGCTAACAAACCTTTTCCGACATGCGTTAATCAACCAACCAACAGAACCTCCCACCACCTGCCTACTTCTGTATTATTCTTTACCATTAACCATTCAGGTGACCTATCCTGTTATCATACCTACTAGACATTAAGAACATGAAACCAAGTGGACTAGGAATCTGGTCCATGTGGAACCTCACAGAGAGTCCTGGAGACATGTGGGTGCAGGAGGTTTGCCCCGGGGCTAAGTGGCAGGGGCAGGAATGGGATTAAACCAATAAATGAGTAGAGACATATTCCGACCTTACTGGTTGAGTGTGTGAGAGAGAGAGAGAGAGTGGGATTGTGGCTAGGATACCCGCTGCCAAACAAACACTTTCATCAATGAGCCTCTGTGTCTGTGGCCTGGCCTCTCCCACCCTGCTGCAAATATTCACTAAACTGGAGAAAAAACAGAAGGAAAAAGCGATGAGTCATCAACGCCCCAAACATCCAGCAGCTTCTACAATAAAGGCCCTATTTTCTTTGGACCTGGCGCGGCCGCTAATATCCACAGAATGCGAGAAATGAAATATCGCGCTGCAGCGACGGCCTCGAAACAGCAGGGCGCGCTAATTTAGGATAAATTACTGCACGGAGACAAAGGCGTGAGACAGAAGCGGTGGCTTCGGGGTGCGTGCAGACCCTGGTCGTTGTGCAAACAAGGAGCGAAGCGGAGTTCAAGTGAGGCAGCGGCCGCGCTCTCCGCTCTCGGCGGGGCGTCCAGATTCCAGACCCAAACACGTTGGACACCGAGTCTGTAAAAGTCGTGGGGGCCATCAATCTGCCGCGGTGTCGTATAATCGTTGTTGCGGCGCAGCTACGACAGCTCAGCTGCGGCGGCTGTGACCCTCAAGAGTTTCAATGAACTACTACGACTCCGACTGCGTCAGCGACCTGGATCTGTTTCCTCCCCTCCTCTCACAGCTGCGGTGAAGCAGTTTCAACACATAACACAAAGCATGTGTGTGAAATCAAAGCCGGAGTAGTAAATTACTCAT